CCTGTGCAGCCTGCTCTGGGTGACCCTGCTTGGGCAGGGAGTTGGACTGTGTGACCCACAGAGGTCCCTTCCAACCCCTACCATTCTGTGATTCTGTGATTCTATGACCCTGCGTGTACTTTTGTACCTGCTATTCCAGTCGTTCCTCGCTCACCTCCCAGCAGCGACAACAGTAGGTGAGCTGGTGTCGGGGCAGTAGCTTGGCACAGTGATCTAAAGCAGGTACTTGTTGTATGGAAGCTGATGTGGAAGAGCTTGGGACCCTAGAGGTGGAAAGCTGTGTAGCCCAGAATGGTGAGGCAGAGATGGTGGGGATGGAAGGGGGGGGGGGTCTCCCTCCCCAGGTATAGCGGTGGCCACGAACACCATTCCCGATAGCTTCCCTCTCTGGATAATTCCAAATATTCCCCTACCTCCGTACAGCCCTCCTGCTTTTAAACTTTCAGGTCTATTGGAGAGAGAGAGATAAATACAGTAAAGGAAGGTGCAGCGGTGTCGGCTATGAAAGGCACGCAGGGCTGAAGGGAGCCTGCGGGTTGAGCCGGGGAGATGTGGAGGAAAGGAGAGGGGGAAATCAGTGACGTGTTGGAATTTGTTGTCGTTGGTGAGAAGCTGAGCTTTACTGGGAGTGTGACCGAGGAAAACTAGCAGGGTAAGAAGCAGTAGGGCTGAGAGCTTACTTTGACACACCCGGCCTTTGTTTTGGTTTGGGTTTTTTTTGACAGTTGCAAATTATATTTCTGGTGATTTGCTTTGCAAGTAACTGGTCATCTCCTGCTCCCCTTGGATGGGTATGTTTATGATATGATGTATATATGCATTAGTTTAAGGTACCCACACCTTCAGGCACCTCTGAGTGGGCTGATGTGAGGGACTCTGGATGAAAGTTCTGAAGAGGTGCTCATTTTGCTCCAGAGAACGAAATTCAGCTCGCTAGCAGAGATCCACATAAATTCCCTGTTTACAATGCAGCCAGCAGCAGTTGTATTTTTTTTCTTTTTTTTATTTTTTTTTTCCTGTCTGAACATGAGGAAGAACTTCTTCCCTCTGAGGGTGACGGAGTCCTGGAACAGGCTGCCCAGGGAGGTTGTGGAGTCTCCTTCTCTGGAGATATTCAAGCCCCACCTGGACAAGGTCCTGTGCAGCCTGCTCTGGGTGACCCTGCTTCAGCAGGGGGGTTGGGTTTCATGACTATATTTTCATACTGGTAGACCTCCAGTTGAAACCTGCAGTGTAAGAATTCAGTCTTGCTACTGCTGCCATGGATTGACATAACTTTTCTTTTTTATATAATTGCTATAAAAGCAAAAGGATTAAAATGAAATTTTTTTTTTGGCTTTTTTTATGTTTCAGTTTAGTTTCAGGTGTTGGTTTCGTTGAAATCTGGCCAGAAGCTCCCCAGTGTTCAGCATAACGACTGTCCAAGTGTAGCACTGCGTGCCACTTACTGCCACATCGTACCTGAACCAGAAAAGGTGTTTGGTCACTGTTACTCCAGCCTGCTTGATTGCTTTTTGTCTGTCAAGAGGCTTAACTCGCAGGAGACTGGGCGGTTTTGGTAGAGTCATCTCTAGTTCTCTAGCACTTGTTTCACGTGTTTTGGCATTAAGGTACCTACTGCGTTGGATACTATTGCACAACTCTAAAGACAAAAAGTAGGGCAAGGTGCAGAAAAGAGGTGTCTCTATTTGCAATCTTGAGGATTGACTTACTGAAAAAGCCCAGTTGACTCTCACACTTCGAGTCTCTTTGCTTGTTGCTGTGATCATCTCTGAGATGCAAGAGGACTAAAGACTGAAAACTGACATCTGAGCAACAAAGTCGTAAGCCACAAACCAGAACTATAAAACTGCGGTTAGTGTCGTGTGGAAACAGTCTAATTCGAGCTCTTCAGCTCTTACTCAGCTCTTTCTCTCAAGGTTTTGAGTGAGCTTTGCACATTGCCTTGGAAACAAGGAAGTCCCAGACACTTGAAGAGGTGACTGCGGGAGGTATCAGTTTCATTTCATACTTCTCACCGGTATCTGTGATGGGGCAACCTCACTCTTAGAAGTGTGATCCAAGAAGGCCAATGGCATCCTGGGGTGCATTAGGAGGAGTGTGGCCAGCAGGTCGAGGGAGGTTCTCCTTCCCCTCTACACTGCCCTGGTGAGGCCCCATCTGGAGTACTGTGTCCAGTTCTGGGCTCCCCACTTCAAGAAAGATGAGGAGCTACTGGATAGAGTCCAGCAGAGGGCTATGAGGATGGTGAGGGGACTGGAGCATCTCTCCTACGAGGAGAGGCTGAGGGAGCTG